TCTATCATTAAAAATTGACATAATATTTTCAATTGTTTCATTGGATTCCAGTTCATGCTCTTCAGAATAAAATCCTCGAATATAGTCCAAATAGTCAAAAACATATATTGTCATTTGAAACCAAGAATTCTATCTTGTTGTATTAGGTAATGGCATAAATCGTAAAGTTAATTGTTGAGTATCTTGAGAATTTAAACTGTTATCAGAATTAGTTGAAATATCTTTAATGCCATGTCACCGAAGATAATCCATATATCTAGATCACCGTGCTTTAAAATAAACCATAGTTTTTTAATATTTAGAATTAATTTTCGTATCTCATCAAAATGATGTATATTTGTTCATGCTTGACTAATAAATAAAAGCTATTATTATAAATACATAATTAAAAACATTAAATATAAATAATTTATAAAATACTAACCTTATTAATTAAATAATATGTGTACAATATGTATTATGTTGAATTTGTGGCATTACGGGTTGTAAAATTTCTCTAATAGATTTTTTCATATAAGCTGTTAAATCTGATACAATAAGATATGGATAGTAAAAGGTATCTCCCATTCAACTAAAGTTTTAAGAACTAATTGACCTACTGTAACATTATTCACTTGAGATATAAAATCAATTGAAATTAATTTTGTTTGACCTTGATAACTAAAAAGTGTATTAATTACACTATGGGTTTTTTTGTCTGTAGTTTCATCAATTATAATAGAAACTGGTTTACCACAAAATATTCCACAAAGTTGTTCATAATGCTGCTCAAAAATATCACTTAAATGATGTTTTCGAATACTATCAGCTAAAGAAATAGAACCACCCTCTTTACAATATTTCTTAAAAAAATCTTGAAGCTTATTTATTTTTTCAAGTGAAATATCTGCTTCTACTCAGGTTTTTACTAAATCATAAATTATTTGTTTTCTCCTATCTGCGACCACCATTGTGGCATGAAGAGACTGTTGACGGTCATTACGATTGGCAGCGACGTATGAACGGCAGGAATCTTTGTGAGCTTTTGAATTTATATGTGTAGTAATAGTAGCCTTATTTTGCCAGCCAATACTTATATTACAAAACTTGCAAAAAAGTTTATTATTATCTGCAAAAAGATCCTCTGAAAATTCTCGTGCCCGTGAACAAGGTGAAATAATTTTTGACCACCCCATTGTTGCAATATTTTTCTATGATTATTTTTTTATGGCGATTTAATCAAATCTATACCAATTTTGACAATTTTGATTGGCCTAAAATCATATAGTTAGATCCACCATAAAAATATTTGAATTTACATGGAAAATTTTTGAATATTTGTAAAAGTTTGGAATATGCTAGAATATTTGAATTTACATGGGCAAATTTGATATCAAATTTTTACGTGTCCCTACTCAAGGGAGCAATCCCATGTGATCACGGGAAATGGTTTATCATTATACTTTTATACTTACTATGTGAATTGAATTCTGATATTTATTTATATAGCAATAGAAACGATAAGCTTTTTCACCACAATACTCACCACTTCCCCAAATACCCTCTATATGATTTCTTATATTTTCTTTTTTATAATTTTTATTACATATAGGGCAGGATACAGATCTATTAAAATTGAAATAATCATTTTCAAAACTATAATTCAGAGTTAAATCAGGAAATCGCTCTAAGACCATTTCAATAATATGTTGTTGCTTCTTCTGGGTCTTCAGGTAGAACAGAAATTGGAAATTGTCATTTAGATGGTGTAGATTGAATATTTACCTGTGGTACAAATAAAGTCTTTTCCTCTAAAGATTCAGAGGGTTTGGAATCCATCCAAGGATCAAGACCAATTTCATTTTTATATTTTTTATATAATTTGGGATGATTTTTATCCGTTAAAATATCAATTAATTCAGCTTGCCATTCCAGAAATTCGGGGGTTAATATTTTATCAAACTTGGTTTGTGTATTCATATTACCGTTTTATATGATTATGAAGCAATTTAATTCCCCGCATTGACACTGGTCGAAAATTGATAAAACATATACATATCGGGTACTCGATATGTGCATAGTGTGTCCCTAATATTGGGCATATATCAGGTACCCGATAGGTGTAGAAAATATTTTATATATATATCGGGTACCCGATAAGTGTAAAAAAATATTTTCTACACTTATCGAGTATCCGATATATGCCCGATATTAGGGACACACCATGCACATATCGGGTACCTGATATATGTATATTTTATCAATTTTCGACCAGTGTGAATATCATAAAAAATGACTTATAACTTAACTATTTTCAGGCTTCGAGTGACATAACCAGGAGATGGCAGGTCTACACAATTATTTTGAAGCTAGTATAATAATATTAATTCCAGATGCTTCACATTTAATATAGTAAGATCCATCTTTATATTTTCCATTTATACCATTCTCTTCCTTATGATTTAACTTACATATTGGACATGGCGATTTGACATTAACTCCATAATAATCAATATTTTTTTTACTCCTATATTCATAATATAAGTCGGGATATTGCTCCAATGTTTTGTTACAGAAATTAGCATGGGCATGAACTGGAATAGATGAAGATACAGATGATGCACTTACCTCAGTATTCGATAAAGATTTGTTATCCTCACTTATCTCATTTCCTGAATTAGAGGTATGCAATGGCTGGATAGAGGGGGTGATTATATTACTCGCCTCTAGTAAAGTTTCTTTGCGTACCTTACTCACCTCAGTTTCTAGTAATTTCTCTGAATTGGATACTTCAGGCTTATTTAATATACTTATTTCAGATGAGATTTTTCCAGAACCACCGGTCTCAGAAATTTCAGTATTTTCGAACGAAATTTGATGTCTTGCATTATCTGTATCGACGTTCTAACAAGAATAATTTATAATCTCTTGAATTTGATCATTAGTAAGCTTTGAAATGGAATTTGCACTATATGATTTGATGTATTTGATTTTACATCAGGAAATTTTAAAAGGCAAAAATCTCCGGAAATTTTTTAGTTTGATTATTTTCTGGAAGTTCTGCAGACTCCCGAAATTTTCTGGAAAAAAAATTCGCAATATTCTGAAAATTTTCGCAGTTTTCCAGAATTTTTTGTAATAAAAATTTGCAAATATTCCGG